AAGCCTAAAGAAGTTTGGAATAGTCCAGATTAAAGCAAGATTGAGACTTAGTCATGGCGTGGGTTCTGTAAACAAGTACATACCGGAGAAATCCAGAACTGAATCTTAGACACCATCCACTGATGGAACCAAAGGAAGCAGTATTGATGTGAAAGGAGAAGGAAGGTTGTGGGAAGAAAATAGAGAGGCTGGTGCCTTATGGAAGAGAGCTACAAGAGTATCAGAAAGAAGATGGAATGAGAAACATTTGCTGGATATGAGTAGAGGGATGGCAGTTTTAACTTTCAGAGAGTAGTTTATTAATGAGCTGGGAATAAAAACTTTAGAGACTTAAGGAGGATATGAGGGGATTGGAATGAGAATCAGTGAATGTGGATCACTTATCCAAGGACTGACATGAGACAGGAAGGTGAAATGGATGTTAGGTACAGGGAGACAGTAGGTTGGGCTCTAGCAAGGGTAATTATTATCCATTTTAATGTTAGACATTTTTTTTCATTGTCACCCTTATAAGTGACGCTTCATAAAGGAGGTTTAATTTTGAAAGCGCTATATGTAAATTTCCATGTTTTGTCAAGCTGGTGTCTTTCCAAATGTAGAGAGCCTAATTGAGGTGGGTGGAGATATAAAGTCTAATAATGATCGTAACATACTTTCAACCCCAGGACTGGTATTGGATGATTTTAGTGTGCCATGTACATCTGTTGATGAGAGTCCTAGAAGAGAATGGAAAATAAATTCCAGTGCAAGGCAATTCAAGATGGTATTAGTAGTGGATGTATTGTAAGTCAATTGTTAGCAGAGGAGTATATCTAGCTTTTGCAAAAACCAAGAATGACTGCTTTAAATCAACAGGAAGCATCCCATCACTGTGTCAGGTATATTGGGGCACACAAATAAAATAAGTAGCCCTTGCCTACAACCTAAAGAGAGAAAGGTCATCTCCATGAAGTGACTAGAGCACAGCAATGAACAAGATACGGATTCTGTGACACCAAAATTAAGACCAAGTATGTAGTAGGTACTTTAAAGAAGGTCCTTTAAGAATGCATAGGCTATAACTCGGTTACAGATGAAAGGATTTTTAGGGTAAGGAAAAGCATAGAATGAGAATTGTACACATGGAGAAGAATGTGAAACAGAGGGGAAATCTGAATACAGAAAGTAGATGATTTTCCAGAAGACAGCTTAGATCCAGAATTATTAGTCTGCTGTTCATATACCAGATTGATAGTAGCCTTTTATTTTTTAAATTTTTAAAAAGATTTATTTATTTTAAAGATTTTATTTATTTGAGAGAGAGAGTGAGAGCGAGAGGGAGAAGCAGACTCCTCGCTGAGCAGTAGGCCAGATGTGGGGCTCAATCCCAGGACCCTGAAATCATGACCTGAGCCTAAGGCAGATTGCTTAACAGACTCAGCCACCCAGGCGCCCTTATTTATTTATTTTAGAGAGAGTGTGCAAGCACAGGGGGCGGCGGGGGTGGGATGCAGGGGGAAGGGGCAGAGAGGGAGAGAGAGAGAATCTTGAGCAGACTCCCCACTGAGCGCAGAGCCTGAAGCCGGGCTCGATCTCCTGACCCTGAGATCATGACCTGAGCCCAAACCAAGAGTCAGACGCCCAACAGACTGAGCCACCCAGGGCCTTTTAAAACTAGCTTTAAAAAATTATAGAAGTAGTATTTGCTCCTGTTTCTTTTTAAATTCAAGTTTAGGGGCACCTGGGTGGCTCAGTTGGTTAAGTGGCTGCTTTTGGCTCAGATCATGATCTCAGGGTCCTGGGATTGAGTCCTGCGTTGGGCTCCTTGCTCAGTGGGGGGTTTGCTTCCTCTGCCCCCTCAACTCATGCTCTCTCTCTTTCTGTCTCAAATAAATAAAATACATAAAATATTTTTTAAAAATTAATTCAAGTTTAGTATTAAAGTAAATCTTTGCCTCCTCTCCCAACCCCTGACCTTTACTCAAGGATAACTGTTTTTATGCTTCTTAGATATTCTGAAAATGTTAAAATATATTTCTCTCTATATATATTCTTATAAACATGGTTCATTTATACTCTTCCTCAATCCGCATTTTTTAATTGGCAGTATAACTTTGGGATCTTTCCATATCGTCACGTTGATTCACCTTATTTTAGAGCTACATAGTGTTCAACTATATGGATGTACCTTATTTGTCTACTAACCCACACAAAAACCTTATGGGTCTGGCATAGTGTGTTAATTTTTTTTAAAAGGTTAATAAATAATAAAAATAAATTTTTATTATGGTAGATAAGGTTTTCTACGGGACAATATGTGTAGTATATATTTTATTTCTATTTGCATACACACATTTCCATGTGCCTCACCTATAACCTCGGGTTGGAAAAGACTTTAAAACTACGTGCCGCAGGGGAAGAACAGTCCTTGTCTGACCTGGGCATTTGCTCACTATTGCTAGAGGTAACCTTATGGGTTGAGATGCTTTCATCTGCAAGGAACAGAATGCCGGACTTAGAAGTGCCTTAACCAGTGAAGGCGCTGAATTACCTTGCACACAGGAAATCCAGAGGTAGGCTGTTGCAGGTGTGGTTGATGTAGCGGCTCAACTTCTCCAACTCATGTAATTTTCCCCTCAGAGTTCCCAGAGTTGTCTTGGCCCAGGCATCACGGCTTCCCACGGCTGTGTTCAAAGGCACACAGACTGAAGGGAGATTCTTGCCTAAGGATCCAGAAGAAATCTAGTCCCAGAAGCCCCTTGACGGACCTCCCCTCACCTCCCTTGGGCCAGAACCAGGTCACATGACCACACCGTGGCTGCATGGAAGGTTGAGCGTGCAAGTCTGCGGTGTTCTGTGTCCATGAACATGAGTGTTCTCAGCGAGGTGGAGTGGAAGGAGTTGGGACAGACGTTGCCTGGATAATGCAGAGGTGGCTTGAGTAGCCGATACCATTTTTGGATAGAGTTAAAATCCATCTCCTGGTAACTCGACTTTGGGTGTTGGTTAAGCTCTCTAAGCTATTCCTAAAGAACAAGACTTCTAACGAAATAAGTAGAAAGCTGTAATGTCTCTCTTTTGCCCCTTCCACCACCCTCCTTTGCATGATCATTTCTGTACTGTCAAAGTGGAGAAAAATACAGAGCATCACTGTTTTCTGTGGCTCAGACTCTTCCCTTGCTTTTTCATTGGACTGTGTATCAGCTGCTTTGCTTCCTAAGGTTTTTGTTGTTGTTGTTTTTTTATGGGAATTCATCAAAATTTGTAACTGCTCCCGTATTTATTGTTTCTGCTTTTATTGTGGCAATCAAGATACATGAAATAATAAGTTGGTAGAAACAAACAGGTCAGAATTTCTACCAAATAATTTGGATTAGAATTATGAGGACAAGTTGTATCCTTGTATCTTTTTAGGGTGATCTGCAGGGATGCTACAAATTTAACTATAATATGTGTCTTTCCTTTCTCTTCTGTATTGTCAGTCTTTTAAAAGACCCGTGATTTAGAATGGGTGGTTAAGTAGGTAGGTGATGTGGGTATCCTTAGCTCTAATTTATATACCAGACTTCATTTCTCTGGACTTAGTATTTGTGAAGCAGTTATAAGAGTTTGGAAAAAAGTATCAATGGTGTGGAAATAAAAGGTCAGACCTTGGAGCATAGGTGTATGTCACTGTCCCCTTGACTTTCTAACTAGCCTGTCCCAAACTTTCAGGGATTTCTTTCAAGGGCCCATCTCTCTTGGGGTCTGAGCACCTTTGAATCATAGGCTTCCCTTTTCTGATTTTATTTGGCTCATCATTCTCCAACCCCTATTCCCCAGAATCATTAGGTAAGAAAATATGTGTAAGGATGCTCTTTTTGAATGAAAACCTATAATAAGCATGGATCTGATTGTTGCCTTTTCTAGATGAGAGATTAATGGAGACAGTGTTTGCTGGAACATTTTGGACTTATTTCCCCTGATACTGAATTTGTAAAATTATTACCTTTAAAACTAAGCTCATACTTAATGCCTTCATTTCCTTTGCGCACCACTCTTTCGGTCTGTTTCCCTCCTGTGTGGGAATTTCCAAGAATCATAAGCCTTAGGAGGTTTAAAACTGGAATCTCATCGGTTTAAAATTTGCAAAATACATTGGTTCAGAGAAAAAAGGGCTACTCTACTCTACTCAAATAACATCATTTTCACATGATATATTCCCTTAAAGGTCACATTATAAGACAAGAATGTGAGGTCTGTTATTGAATAGAAAAATGGAAAACCGCACAAGATTTGTAAACGTTTGAATAGAATGACAGTCGGCTTACCCCCAACTCCATATTCTTCCTATTCTTTCCTGGATGTGGCTGGTGTAGTGTATAACTGACTATCATTTTATGGTTTGTGAAACCTTTTGATTTTAGAGCATGTGAGTCTTTTACAAATGTCTCTAACATATGGTAGGACAACGGAATATCCAAATTGACAGCCAATCTGACTTCTTGGCTAAGCCACACCAGGCACTGTTTGGTCCCTATTTGATTTCTTTCTTGTTCTTTCAGTTCCCTCTAAAAAATAGTAAGGAAACCTCACTACCTATTTCTCAGTCCCGGAGAGGACAAAATCCTTTTTAAATTTCTTTTTTCCTTTTGCTTCAGTAGGACCTTCAGGTCCAATTTTCCTCCAAGACAATGCCCCAAATAATTGTAGCAGGGACTTGAGATTTTTGCCTACTTTGAGTGCTGAAAGGTGAGAAGTATTCCAAAAGAATTGCCAAGTTTGGTTAGTGAGAACACTCCCTGTCTGTTCATAAGGGCAGTGGTGGCCTCTTCCACTAGCATCTACTTTGAGAAACATGGCAGGGCTGAGTGACCTTGAAGGTTTGGGTCCATTATGAAGACCAAGAGTAGAAATCACTGCCCTCAGTGGTACTAACCTTCCATAAATATTAGCCTATAAAAGAGAAGAACGGAGGGGAGAAAGCCTGGGCCTGTATGAAAGACACACAGACCGTCCCATTTTCTTTGTTTGCGCTTTAGAAGTCCACCTGGACCCCTACCGAACATGGTGCCCTGTGGCAGACTGTCAAACGGTGTGCCCTGTTGCCTCCAGTGACCCGGGACAGCCTGTGCGCGTGGAGTGCCCTTCCTGTCACCTGAAGTTCTGCTCCTGTTGCAAGGATGCTTGGCACGCAGAAGTCTCCTGTAGAGATGGTCAGCCCATCGTCCTACCAACAGAGCACGGGTAAGAAAGGAAGCCGTCTTTGGGATTCGTCACCGGTTTTCTCAGAAAGCCCAAATAGGTGGCCTGGAGAAGGAGTTCTTTTGTGATGGAATTTAGAGATTAGTTATTTCCCTGGGGAACTTCCCTGAGACGTGTCTCCGAATTGGGAAGTTGCTAACAAAGAGTAACTGACAGAGCCTTTCTGAGGGACTTTTAGGTATTGACCCTTGGACAGTCTCCCTGAGACTGCTGAAATTAGGGTTTGTAAACATTTTGATTCCTCTTCAGGGAGGGGGAGGCACACGGGCCACTGGTTTTCAATAGCAAGGCGGGGCTTGTCCACAGCCTTTTGCTTAGGAGGCGTGAGCACCTGCTATGGATTCACCTCGTTCTTCCTGCTTGCGAAGCGGTGCGGAAATTATTTTGTGACCCGACCATGTGGCAGCTTGTGAGGCGAGCCAGTCCTGTCAAGGAGAGCACCACAATAGAAACAGCAGTCCTTCAGGGCAGCGCAGTGCTCAGTGCGCAGGCCCCAGAGGAAAAGGCTACATCTCTCAGGACTTGGTGCCTAGAAGGTGGTGCCGAGGCTCAGATTCTGTTACAGCGAGAAGCAATTAAATCTGTACCTTTCAGTACAGAGGGATTTTATGGCAGCAGAAAGGCCCAGAGCGGGAGACTTTTGTGCTCGATCCCTTGCTTTGCTTGAGGCCCTGGCTATTCTGCATGAGCAAGAACAGAGGTGCTGGTGTTCCAGTCCAGTTGGCTGACTCAGCCCGCACCCTCAGAGTGTGTAGAACCATTCTTCAGGAATAGTAGCACTACCTGGCTAGGATAGTGTGCTCGAATCTTGGACCAAACCAACCAAGAGGAAAAATAGATCTAGTGCACATGGCAGGCATGCGTCTTCTTAGCCAGTACCCTCTGCACATGGCAGTGAGGTGTGTGGGTATCATGGGACAATGTGAAGATCCCAGAGGAGAGAGGGGTGGAGTTCTTTTTTTATTTTTATTTTTTAAGATTTTATTTCTTTGAGAGAGAGAGAGAGAGAATGAGAGGGGGGAGGGTCAGAGGGAGAAGCAGACTCCCCACTGAGTAGAGAGCCAATTCGGGGCTCGATCCTGGGACTCCGGGATCATGACCTGAGCCAAAGGCAGACGCCCAACTGACTGAGCCACCCAGGCGCCCCGAGAGGTTGAGTTCTGACATTGTCACTTGGTATCTGTGGGACCTCATGGAAGTCACTCAGCCTCTATGAGTCTGTTTCTCTATTTGAAAAAAAAAAAAGGTGGTGGTGGGGAAGAGAATTAAGATAGTAACTGTCGGGCGCCTGGGTGGCTCAGTTGGTTGGGCGACTGCCTTCGGCTCGGGTCATGATCCTGGAGTCCCGGGATCGAGTCCCGCGTTGGGCTCCCTGCTCAGCGGGGAGTCTGCTTCTCCCTCTCCCACTCCCCGTTTGTGTTCCCTCTCTCGCTGTGTCTTTCTCTGTCAAATAAATAAAAATCTTAAAAAAAAAAAAAAAAGATAGTAACTGTCCCACTGCTCTAATAAGGTTATTGTGAGTACCAAATCCAATCCTGGATCTGACAACACGTTGTGAACTTGATGGCTCTGTGTGCTGGGGGCTGGGTTTTGTTTTTTTTTTTTTAAAGATTTATTTATTTATTTGAGAGAGCAAGAATGAGAGCGAGCACATGAGAGGGGGGAGGGTCAGAGAGAGAAGCAGGCTCCTCGCCGAGCAGGGATCCCAATGCGGGACTCGATCCCGGGACTCCAGGATCATGCCCTGAGCCGAAGGCAGTCGCTCAACCAACTGAGCCACCCAGGTGCCCCTGGGGGCTGGTTTTGATGAACGGTAGCTAACATGCAGTGTAGCGCTGTGGCCCCCCTAACCTTCCCACCCCAATGTGTTCCACTTATTCTCCATGTCCCCTAAGACTGTGAGCCTGTGCTGACCTATTCATCTGTCTAAAGCAGGTCTCTTTAATGAGACTGGGCATTTATTTTCAAATATTGATTATTGCCTCCCCCGACCTCTTCCATTTATTTATCGGAACCAGATCACCAGAAAGATTTATCTATGCTGTGCCAGATCCAGAGCTAGTTTTTCTGTTGTGTAGCAGAATGCTTGTGTTTTTGATTTAGACAGTGTGTGCTCAGGGAATGAAATACTAATTTGGCAAAATGATAAATTAAGTCAGGTGTGGAAAATACAATTATATCATCACTCCAAGCCAAAGGTAAATAAATTAAGGTTCTTTTTTTGTTTTGAGTTATCCGAACAACTAATAATCTGTGTCTCCCCTATTTTTACCCCCTCCCTCTTCCATGGAAGTGAATTAATCAGGAGCCCTAGGAATTCAGTTGGTGACCATAAAGTTAACTGTTGAATTAATTACACTCCCCCCACTCTTCCCCAGCCCTGGTTACTGTACACCCTTGGGGTTCTAGCAGCATTCTTGATCCCCCCCCCCATAATTTTCATCCATTTTGTGTCTAGGGCCCTCTTTGGGACAGACGCAGAAGCCCCCATTAAGCAGTGCCCTGTTTGTCGGGTTTACATCGAACGCAACGAAGGCTGTGCTCAGATGATGTGCAAGAATTGCAAACACACGTTTTGCTGGTACTGTCTCCAGAACCTGGACGTAAGTTCCACTTGGAAGCGTCTTCTCCTGTGGTCTTTTTCTCCATCGTATCTGTGCAACCGTCAGGATCCTACAGGCTTTCCTTTCAAAATCTTGAGCCTATATTTGTCCTGCAAAAGAAGGTTATTTTTCTTAAGGATACTTTCTGAGCCTGCTACTTTATTTTTATTTATTTATTTATTAAAAGATTTTATTTATCTATTTGAGAGATAGAGAGAGCACACAAGCAGGGGGAGGGGCAGGCGGAGAGGGAGAAGCAGCCTCCCGTGGAGCAGGGAGCCCGATGCGGGGCTCAATCCCAGGATCCTGGGATCATGACCTGAGCCGAAGGCAGATGGCCAACCGACTGAGCCACAGAGGCACCCCGGACCTGCTACTTTAGATGTCTAGCAAATGTCTCTTTGAGTCCCTTAGCTGTGTCAGCTTAGCTGTGAAGGCAGGCTTTCGTTTTAGGGACGTTCCCTGCTTTGGGGAGCAGTGTCTCCTCTTATCATGTAAAGAACTGTCAGTGTATTCATTTATTTTGCTGCTGTAACAAATCACCACAAACGAAGTGGCTTAAAACAGCACAAATTTATTGTCTTTAGTTCTGTCCTCTGGCAGTCTGACGCGTGTCTCACTGGGTTAAAATCCAGGTGTCCTCAGGGCTGCATTCTTTTCTGGATTCCAGGGGAGAATCCATTTCTTTGCTTTTTCTAGCCTTTAGAAGCTGCCTGCCTTCGTTGGTGTGTGGCCCCTTTCTCCATCTTTGGAGCTAGCTGCATCACGTCTCTCTGACCCCTTCTTCCATTGTCACGGCTCCCTCTGACCACAGCTGGGAAAGCTGCTCTGCTCTAAGGGCGAGCTGATTAGATTGGCCACATCTGGGCGATGCAATGATTAGATTGGCCACATCTGGATGATACAGTGATTAGATTGGCCGCATCTGGATGATATAGGCTGTTCTCCTCCATCTCAGGCTCTTACTTTAAGCACACTTGTAAAGTCCCTTTTGCCACGTAATCACCATATTTTCTGCCTACCATAATTTGGTTCTCTTCCTCTTTTTGAATTTAAAGAAGAAAGCCGCTCTAATCAATGGGATGTCTTAAATAACTACTTCATTCACTGGCACGACGGTGGTATTGCTCTCATTTGGTTAGGGATCCATGCCCAGATAAAGGGGTCTGCCCCAGTGATTCTTTCCCCTCACCATTCGTGAAACACGTCTTGCCCGGTTCAGGTGCAGCTCATTCAATCCCGTGCCGAGGTCCATGGTAACCTCAGAGGTAAAAGGTGGTGTGAAGGACTGATGAACAGATCTTCCTTCAGTTCTGGTGTTTCTTCTAGCATGTGTGCTACCCCAAATAGGAATAGATAGTCCCTATTTTGGCAATCTGGACTCATGAAATATGTCCGTATCAGTGTGAGCCCTCCATCATGGTGAGGTGGACATTCTTTTCTTAATTTTTCTTTCTTTCTTTCTTTTTTTTTTTTTTACAAGACTTATTTATTTATTTTAGAGAGAGAATGAGAGCAAGTCAGTGCAAGTCAAGTCCGGGGGAAGGGTAGAAGGAGAGAATCTCAAGCAGACTCCATACTGAGCATGGAGCCCAAGGCGGAGCTCGATCACACGACCCTGAGGTCACAACCTGAGCCCAAATCAAGGGTCGGACGCCCAACCGACTGAGCCATCCAGGCGCCCCACTCAACTTTTCATTTCAATTGCTTGGTTTGCTTCAATTTGATGAGCAGCTCTGGTGATGCTTTTCTATCACACAGTCAGTGAGTCGGTGTGCGGTTAATACGGGATGCGTGCTGGTCACCACATGCCTGATTTTTAACTGAAAATTAGCTAAGTTGTTTCAGATGACATCTGTGAGGAAGAATTTTAAACAGCCTGATCTCAGTATTTCAAGCAGTGCTATAAATTGGGGGAAAGAAAACTGAATTTTAGACTGTGGAAGCTCAGCAGCTCAGGTTGAAAGAAGTGTTTTTATTTCTATTTTTTAATACTATTTATCGTAACCCCTTGAATTACAAGTATGTGTGATATTTGAGACCCATTATGATTTTCCAAACGTGTGGTACTCTGGGCGAGGTTTTCATTGATTGCACACCCCCTGTGTTTTTACAAAGGAAAGAAATCTTTTCTATTTGCCTTCAGGTTTAACCAGAACATTAATTGGGTTCATATCCACAAGGAAGCTGAGCCCATGAGGTTCTTTTTAAGAGGCAAGAGTATAAGGGAATAAAGATGTGTGCCAGATCTCCCCATCCTTTGGCTGAAATATGTTTGGGGTATGGTGTTGCAAAGAACACACTGTTCTGTTACTTGGACTGTTCCGGTGCTCAAGTTGAAATGGTACAGATGTTAAAAGGCTGGATACACAGACTTCAAATACTGGAGCATCTTTTTCTGGTCATTGTTTTCTGAGATCTCATTTTCTCAGTTTTCGCCAGGGGCACTGGCTTGTTGGTAATCATGTTTTTCTCTTGACAAGTGTTCTGTGTCAGATGGTGGTGTTGATCTTTGTTTATAGGAAAGTTTCAGAGCATGGGTCTGGGAGCAGAATGATTGTCCAAGAGCCAAGCCCGAGACGGATGCCCAAACGGAGTGATTTTTGAGTTTTGCTGGGGTGTCGAATTTGCTCCTGCCTTGGTCCTCATCCCTGCTGGTTCAGAGGATGAAGTGTTCTTTTTTTTTTTTTTTTTTTGAGGATGAAGTGTTCTTAATCTGCTTGGGGACCTCAGAGACTTGTCCCCTTCCATTATCTCTTCTCTCTCCTGTGCCTTCAATTTCCACTAACCGCTCCATGTGCTCAGTGTGTCCCATTTAAAAACGAGTCACACTTTTCTCAAGCCTACACGTCTCCCTTACTACCATTCTCTCTCTCTCCTTCTCTTAGAAGCCAAGCCTCAAAACAGCATAATCACCTCTTGTTGTTGATACTTACCTCCAGTCTTTGAAGTGCGCTCAGCTGGCCACATCGTCACAGCCTTGACTGTGTTTTTCCAAGGCTTTGAGTGCTGTCTTTTGGGTAAAATCCAATGGATGTTTCAGTCCTCCTCTTACCTAGATTCTCCCCTGCCTTTGATGTCTTGACCACGTCTGTTTCAGTAATGGCATGTCTTCTGCTTTCCTTCTACCTTTCTGGCCACTTCTGTTTCCTTTCCAGGTGCCTCCTTGACTCATGCTTTTTTCTTTTCTTTTTTTTTTTTTTTAGAGTTAGATAGCAAGAACGGGGAGGGGCAGAGGAGGAGGGAGAGAGAGACTCTTAAGCAGGCTCTGCACTGGGCGTGGGGCTCGATCTCACCACCCTGAGATCATGACCTGAGCTGAACCCAAGAGTCAGATGCTTAACCAACTGTGCCAAAACAAAACAAAACAAAACAACCAACTGTGCCACCCAGGGTAGTCCTCCTTGACATTGTCTTTGCTTGCCTGTCTACACTGTCTCCCTGGGTGATCTCATCTACTTCTGTGGTTTTTCTCCACCCCATGTATGCTGATTCCCGTCTTCCCCAAAATTCTCATCTGTGTAATCAGCTGCCTTTTGAACAGGGTGGCTTGGATATCTCAAGTGTCCCTCAAGTTCAACATGTCCAAAGTGTGGCCATCGTCTTCCCAACAGAGTTCATCTCTCTGTTGTCGTTTTCTTCTCCTTCTTCCCACATCAAGTTAGTTACCTTCTCAGGACCCCATGTCTGCATTTCCCATCTCAGCTGCTGGCATTTTTTCTCACATGCCCTCCACTCCCGATCCTCATTCTATGTCGCACCTGTCCTGGAACCACCTTTCAGAGATGACTGGGCAGGACTCCAATCCTTTCTAGACTCAGTCAAGAGTCTCGATGATTATGATCCATTTTCACTCGGTGATGTGTGAACCTACTGAGATAGAGTCTAAAGATTGCAGCCTTGGAATCCCTGGAGGCCGCCATTTATATTCCCTGAAAGAGCCTTTGCTTCCACCAAGGTGATCCGATGTGGTTAGTGTTTATGTCTCAGTTCAAAAGAGCGTATGTACTGAAACCTCTGTCTTTGTTTTTCAGAATGACATTTTCCTCAGACATTATGACAAAGGGCCGTGTAGGAATAAGCTGGGCCACTCGAGAGCCTCGGTGATGTGGAACCGAACGCAGGTACCCTGACCTTTAAGGGAGCAGGAGATAATACCAGACTCGAGATGGCTTAAAAAACCCACCTAATCCTCCTCCCCACCCTGTTCTCTACTTACCCATCCCAGCCTGGGAGGTTCTGGGGAGCATGATCGCCTTGAGGATAAGTAGTAGAGGGCAGGGTGCCAGAGCAGCCCACTGATTACCAGTGACTGCCAGAATCGAGGCAGAGACTCTCTCCTCTTGGGAAAATGGTAGGATGACTTTCCTAAAGCCCTGTACGTCCTATTTCATATAAAAGGCAGTGCTCTAAAATCCTGTGAGCCCCCGCTGAGGCTTAGATCCCTCTGCACACACCATTGTGTGTTTCTGTGGCAGGTTCAAAGGGAGTCTGGTTTGTTGATTGGTTTATTTAATTTATTTATTATTTTTAAAGGTTTCGTTTATTTATTTGACAGAGCGAGACATAGTGAGAGCAGGAACACAAGCAGGGGGAGCAGTAGGTGGAGGGAGAAGCAGGCTACCAGCTGAGCCGGGAGCCCTATGTGGGGCTCGATCCCAGGACCCCGAGATCATGACCTGAGCCGAAGGCAGACGCTTAACTGCCTGAGCCACCCAGGCATCCCCTGGTTTATTTTTAATAGTGCTTCATATTTATGAAAGACTCCGTTACCTTTAAGGGCATCAGTGTTAATAGCCTAGGAATCATTGTTAGCATCCCTATGAGGCTGTCAAGGAGACTCGGGTAGGGAGGGAGCCAACAGCAACAATTCGGGGTTACACGGAGCTTGTGCCGGAGCTCAGGTGAGCGTCCGGTTTCTTCCTCTCACCTCCGATCTAGTCCTTGCTGCCTCCCTGGTTTATATCCGGTTCAGGTCACACGGGGCACTTGCTGAAAGGGCCCATAACTGTAACTGTTTCATGTGCCTGGGGTCGTGTCTTCGTTCAGGCTGCTAGAAGAAATTGCCATAAAGCTGGGTGGCTTGAAAAATAGACACTTATTTCTCCCAGTCCTGGAGACGAAAAGCCCGAGATGAAGGTGCCAGGATTGGTTGGGTTCTGGCAAGGACCCTCTTCCCGGTCTGCAGGTGGCCTTCTTCCTGCTGTGTCCTCACCTGGTGCCGAGCTGGGGAGAGGAAGCAAGCGCTCTGAAGTCTCTTTTCATAAGGGCACTAATCCCATCGTGAGGGCTCTGCCCTCGAGTCCTAATTACCTCCCAAAGGCCTTCATTTCCAAATACCGTTGTATTGGACATTGAGGTTTCAACATAGGAATTTTTTGGGGGGTGGGGGATACAAACATTCAGTCTGTAGCTGATGGCTTAGTATACATATAGGAAGATCAAACTGCTGAAGTGGGCTTTTCTTCGGAATTTCCAGGTGGTGGGGATTCTGGTGGGATTGGGCATCATTGCCCTGGTGACTTCACCGTTGCTGCTCCTGGCTTCCCCGTGTATAATCTGCTGTGTCTGCAAGTCCTGTCGGGGCAAGAAGAAAAAGCACGACCCATCCACTACCTAAAGGCCTCCGCTCCTATCCACGTGCCACAGACGTCTGGGGTTACAATGAGAAGCACAGTGATAAAGCCCCACTTAGTGAACTTGCCTCCCCCTTGCCAAACTTTGAAAGTGCCTCTGTGTCCAGACTTTGAACTTGCCTGCCTGCCTTTGGCATCAGAGAAGGCCGAGCCCGTGTGAAGAGAAGGACCCGGGTTCTGCAGTCTCCGCCGTGTCTAGGGAGCATGTCAGGAAGCTTTGGGATTGCCGACAAGGAACGAACCCACCGTCATTTTATCCTCGGGAAGGATCCCGCTGGGACTGTTCAAGTTCCAGCCAAATTCGAGGAGCCCGAGTGAACATTCAGTATCTTGGTTGGCAACACACATTGTAACTGACCAGCTAGAGTCTGTTCTGTGTTGATCTGACCACCACGAGAAACACCGGAGAAACCCACTCCCCCGCCCCCCATAGGATGGAAAGGATAACACTGTTGAAGGGGAAATTGTCCTAAGCGCCTCGCAGCAGGCTGCTTATCTTGGGGAGCGGGTATGTTGTTGGTTCTGCCTCTGCGGGCTCCTGGGCATGCTGTTCCAGGCATTCCCACAGTGACTTGGCAGAAACACAATAGGTTTCTCCATGTGTGATCTCAGCTTCAAGCAGGAGAAACTGCTATGCAGACAGAGTTGTCCCTTCCAAGTGAAGGGGTTGCAGCCTGTAAAACAATGGGGTCTGATCGAGTAGCTCTCCCTTGGCAAGTGCAACTTTGGGAAGGTGATAAATTCTCCTCCTACAGCCAGTGGCTGTGTTTGACAGGATTGTTTTATATGAAATACTGGTCGAGTGGCCGAGGTTAATCTTCATCATAGGTAACAGAGATCTTTCCTGAGCTCTGTGTTCATGCACCCCACACATTTAGAGTTGGACCTAGAAGTACACACCAAGAGTGAGTATCAAAGTCCATGTGTACACCAGTCCACGTAAGTTGCTGCCTACCCAGAATTTCCATCCACTGGGCATGCGTGAGTCTATCCAGTGGTACACGTAAAATAAATGTTTCCTTGAAGCCATTCTCTCTTTCCTTCTGGGACGAATGTGGTTTATTATAAATCAACCTAAAGGGTTTTCTTTTTGCATATTGTATATGTAAATTTTGGTTGCAAGTTCATAACTTACCCAAAGGTATAGACTCATAAACCTAACTCTTTTAAAACAATGCCTAGTGTGATGTCATGCCATCTCCATTTGTAAAAACACTGATAATCCAGTTATTTACATCTTTCCAAACACAACTCAGAACAGCTCTCTTCTCAGCAGAGTGTCGTATTGCTCTTTCAGCATCTGGTAGGGCAATCCAAATACTTTCAGTATCAGTACAAGGCACTGATAAAACAACAAAAAATGTAAGAAATAAAATGTAAATGCTTCAAGTATCATAAATGCTTTGGGTTGGTATCGCCTTATTGCGACTTATTTTTCCTGTTATCCCTCGGTCAGATTTTGAATAAACGGGTTTTGAAAAGACGATAACTTTTTCTCCATTGACAGGATTACATAATTGCCATTAGCCAACGTAGCCTGGTGCTTCATGAGAATATGTAAGATGCTCGTAGAGAGCCCTCCTTGAAACTAGGGACCCCGCATCAGGGACTGGCAGAACCCCTCATACTTGCCTGAGGTAACCGGGCAACTAGGTTATTAAATTGCTGCTATCCTGGACCTATTCTTAAAGAACGATGCTTTGTTGATGTAATGGAATGTATCCTAAGTGGGGATGTGTATATTTAAGGAACTTTAGTTCACACGTACATATTGATATCTGATTTATGTATAGTACATCTCTTGGTCGTGTACATTTTTATTTACCATGTGTATAGAACATAGATGAGAACTCTGGGAAAACTTTTGAATGGCAACCAACCAAAAACATTTTTAATCATTTTTTGGAAATTTCTCAATATTAAGTGTCTTTATTTTCCTTTGAAACTCTGTAAACGCTTCAGAACAAGAATACCCTCTTCTATCGATGTATTTCATATTAGTCTAAAGACAAGTGTACATATATTTGAATAATTTGCTTTGTCTTAACACTGCCTCATTATAGCAAAGGGCATTTATAACTGCTCAGGGGATCACAGGAACTCAGCTGAATTTGCATTTTTGTATCAAGAACGTCTGTCATGGCAATGTCCTCCAGCACGAGTGAACTCTCTAAGCTCGATTCCACAAAGAATCTTTAAACAGGAGCTGATTTCGAGTAACCTAACATCCTATGATATAAGAGGTGGAGCTCCCAAATTTGGAGTTAAAACATCCATACTGTTTCCTTGGCAAAACTGAAGGAACTTGTCTTCTCACAGAGAAACTGTAACAGAATCAGCTACTTTTTTTCTAGGGGCTAGGGAGTGGGGAGTTGTTTGTGAAACAGATTTTAAACAACTGGATTTAAGTTTTTCTGTGTTGAAAAGTGCCTGGAAAATCGTGACGTCTTCCTTATATAGCACATGAATTGGCCTGTGTAAGATTGTCAGAATCAAGAGGAGTAGGTTGGTGGATTAGACCAAGATATATCTCTGGTGCATGAAAGGGCGAGATGTCAGTCGAGCTAGAAACTTTGTTTGCAAAGGAGAGAGCTGACAACTTCGCTAACAGAGACTGATGTTTTCATCTGGGATAATTGGCCACTGAGAGAGTTTAACCTGTCTCCTTCCTCTATCTGTCAGCCCCATCTTCTCCTAGTGATCCTCTTTCTGTACTAGGAAGAAACGTGGGTCTATGTGATCATGTTTGGATGTCGTGGCAAAAATCTTCGTGTTTGGAGTAGTATAGCCTATTTGAAATAGAAATCAATACTCCTTCACCAAATTGTAATCTGGATGTAATAACCTCCCCCCATCCAGAAACATTAACAGATAGAAGGGCATGACATCTAGCTGCTGCCCCTTCTGGGAATTTTTCTCTTGTTATTGGATAGGGAGGTGAGGGGGAAAGGCATATGGAAGCAAATTTTAGAGTCGTAGGCATTCTGTTTGTTCACGCAATGGGTGTTTGCTCTGGACTTGAAATCTCTATTTCGATAAGGAGGCCTTTGAAAAACAAATAATTCACAGTGTGAATTTTCTTGTAGCCTGCATCACGAAAACTTTACCTATCTAGATTTGAAAATCTACATGTTTATTTGAATGTAAATCACTGTTGCTTGGAATGCCAAATTGTCTCTTAAAAATTATTCAGAATCTAACTATGTATTATTTTACCCTTCTCTACACAGTGCTTGACTTATTGTTCATGAATGGATGCCTTTATGTATATAGAACTGTGTATATATGTGTAACTCTGAAAACAATTTCATAATGCCTTAGATGAGTGACATTTTATAAAGCTGTCCAATCGATATCTGTAGGCTATTACATCTCATGTTGATTCATGATCCAGAAAGTTTTGTTATGTATTTAAGAAATTGCTGTTGTATTATATTTTTCCGAATTCTTTGAGAGGAAAATAGCTGTTTTAGTCTCTGTAGCCCCAATAAATGCAGAGCAGGAAAGCAAGTGTGGTTAACCTTTGTTGTGCTGCACGTTTCCAGACACATTCACTTTTATCCTCCAGGAACCAACGAAGCACTCTTAAATCCTAGGTTCAGAATTTACAAAAAGTACCCAAATCTGCGATACCATTTATGGAAATAACTCTTGCTACCTTGTTTGTTAAATAAGAGGAAGTATAACGCCTTCACTTGTTGCAGACATTTTTGTCGTAGTGGGATACGCCACCCTCTCAGTGCACAGGCATTGATCATTATCCAGAGAAATGACCAATAATTTAGGTCTTTGATCATCCTGATAAAAAATGCTGCCAGGCCTCAAAGCCATTAGTTCTACAAAATGAGGTTTGGGCTGTGTGCTCTCTATGGTCAGTTTTAACCTTCCACAAGTCTGTTGGAGGAATGTATTCCCTCGTTAAGAATGTTAAGGGATTTACAGTAGGGTTAACTTAAGGTCATTTCCATTTCATTAGTATTCAAGGCAGGAATCCCCAAACGCTGAGTGCCAGAAGTTGGTTACCAACTAGAACTTGTGTTTCTGCAAAACGGAAAGCTCACATTCCTATCTACTGGTGATGGTGCCTCTTTATTGATCATTATGTGGTTGTACTATGATCCTGGGGACAAAGACTTAGGATTGACTTGTAAGTCAAATTCCATTTTCTAATCATTCAGTTTTGAGGAAATCAGTAAGATAGTAATAAAAGATTTTTCAGTTATGGTTTCTTAATTTGCTTAATCCTTTCCTAGAATGTCAACATTGTTTCATTTTTTTAAAGTGTCATTGTTTGCTAAACTTGAGTTTGCATCCCCAAAGAATGATTGAATGAACCATTTTATACAGCACTGATTTTAATCAGTGCCCAAGCAGCAAGCTCATTGCTATGTAAATTATGAGCCTAGTGAATCTGAAGAATTATAATTAGGTTTTTCTGTAATTCAATTATTTTCATCTGTTAGATAAAAATAAATTTATTTTTTTAGACCCTAAAGACAGTATCCAACTCTACATTATGAGAAATTAATTTCTTCAAATAATTCAATAGCAATTATACTATGTTTTATTTATATATATTTACATATACTTTTTAAAGAACTTTTGAGAACAATCCTGAGATAAATGGAGTAGGTATTAGATCCATTTCATAAAGAAAGTAGTGGTTTGTGTTCGTGTCTTGCCAAGGGTCACACTGTGATGAGTGGCAGCCAGAAAAAGAATGTAAGACTCCTTCAGAATACTTTCAACACTCTCATTAGTAATTTGGATCCGGCCTTCGTTCCGCTATCTGTGAGTACCAAGAGAATGAACTCCTCTCTCAATTATCTGCGCCGGTGGAGGTATATGTAAGAGAATTATTATTTCAAATAATTATTGAGCATCCGTGCTTTTGTGTGTCTGACAGCCTGCCTGGGGCAAATGGCCCCCCTGAGGTCAACCCCAGTCCCTCCCTGGTTTAGGTAGAGGAGAAGGGCAAGGGAGGGAGGGTAAGTTAGTCAAGAAATAACTAGGTGGTGTGTATCCTGCTAACCGTGGAATGAGAATTACAGGTGGGTCCGTGTACTTACTTCAGATGCCAACATGTTTGTTTGCCTCTTTTCTGCAATATAAAGTATATGCCCACAGCCTCCTTTGATGTTGACAGTCAACACTCAAAGCGATTGTTAAATCCAAGTCCTCTCCTTTTAACATTACCGGCTTGTGCTATAACGTGTATTTGTGGCTGATCGTTAAATCCGTCAGTTGGCGAAAAACAAGAAATGGGGCTCTAAATAATGAACTTATTGAATGAATTCCTGTTGTGTATAAAGAAGTTGTGCTTCAGATTCCGTTTTCTGCCTCTATGTTTTTCAATTTTACCAATACAATTCTATCCTTTTTTTTTTTTTTTTGTATTTTTGAAACTAGAAATCAGGCTTTAGATGAGAAGGGAATGAAGTCTCCTGTTCACCTGGATGATTGAAGGGGCATATTTTCTTTTTGGAGGAATGGGGGGGTGGTTCACATTAATGCCACTGAATGCATTCAGATAAAATGAACATGAAGTTTTTCTCGAATTGTGAGACTTCTGATCATTGATCAGTCTGGACTTAGTTTTTAGAGCCAGTCCCGTTTGTTTAACTAAAAGCAAACAAGTCCGGTAATCCACACACCGCCCTGCATGATGTGTCGTGAATTCCAGCCTGGCCTTGGGACTTTGGCACCACAAGGGCACGTGAATGGAATGTTGGGACAGGATTGGCAAATCTGATGTCACCCTGGGCACGGAACAAGCAGGCAGTGTCCTCTGTTCTCCCTGCCCCCTGCCAGTCCAGACGGTGTGGGGGTCAGGGGACAGACACCCAGCTCCTCGCAGTAAGATGACATTGCTCTTGATGGGTGGTGTGGTCCGGGGCCAACCGTTTATCCACACTGTCATTTCCTCCGTCCTGGCTCAGGCGTAGAGGGTCAGATGAGATCACAACTGTCAGAGGGACATTGTTTTTTAGGAGGTGTGTGCTCTATGGCCGTGAGCGTGGGTGACCAGTTTTCAGCCAGACCCCCTGCTCCCAAAGGAGAAGAGGGGAACTAATACATTTCAAGCTCGTGGATGTGTGTTGAGGGAAGAATGACCTCCTCAGAAAATACATCGTCTTTCTAGATTTAAAAAATGCCTTTATGTTGCTTTTTCACAAGGAAATGTTTCACAGATAAAGATTTATCTAATTGTGTGCTCAATTAAAATGAAAGCTATGTGGACAGAAAAATGCAGAATTCGTATCAACGCAATGATTTTGGTGGGGGGGCAGTTTACAGTAAAAACTTACAATTACACAATTCCATCTGGTATGCAAAGTACCTTCAAACACATTTTCTTTTGCTCTTCCTACCACTCTATCAAGTACATATTAATACAGCCCTCTCCCAACTGACAGGTGGGAGGTAAGATTCAGGGGTTAGGTGACATTCATACGGTGGGTTAGTGGCAAAGCTGGAAACATCTTTCATGAGCCACGAGGACCTCTTAGCATTATTTTAATTTTTTTTAAGTGTCTTGAAGCAACACGTTTATTAACTGCAGTTTCTGTACATCAGAAATTCGGGGGGCGCCTGGGGGGCTCAGTCGGTTGAGTGACTGCCTTCGGCTCAGGTCATGATCCTGGAGTCCCGGGATCGAGTCCCACGTCGGGCTCCCTGCTCGGCGGGGAGTCTGCTTCTCCCTCTGACCCTCCTCCCTCTCATGCTCTCTGTCTCTCATTCTCTCTCTCACAAATAAATAAAAAATCTTAAAAAAAAAAAAAAAAGAAATTCGGCATGAGGTGGCCGAGCTCTCTGCTCAGCATCTTGCTGGGATCAAGGTCTTGGTTAGCTATTGTCATTTGGGGCTCGGAGTTCTTTTCCAAGCTCATTGATTGTTGGCAGAATTCAGTTCTTTTTCATGCCTTCCTTGTGGTCCCGTGTACCTTCAAGCCACGTTGAGGTGTCAAAAGTTCAGAAATAGCAGAAGTAAAACCAACGAATCACCCGAGAAATAATTAGTAAAAGTTTATTGAGCACACACCAAAAAGACAGTTTGCCAACCAGGAGCACTCACTGAACCAAAACGGAATGAGGTTCATTGTTCTATTGTTATAAAGCAGCTTAAATAGTGAGAAAGCAGTGTCTATTCTTCACAGAGATTGTTTATAATAGTAGCATTCCCTTAAATGAAAATGAATTGGTCAGTGGTTGCCTCATACCAACCTTGGGAAGTAGCTCAAGTTTTGCATATAATTTTCAGAGGTATAAGCAAGAAATGACCCAGGTCAAGTTAGTCTGGCAAAGTAAACTAAATTAAGCTTTGTTTGTATGACTAAACTGGTTTTAAACTACAGTTCAGGGAATTTTCTTTTTTTTTTTAAAGATTTTATTTATTTGACAGAAAGAGAGAGTGTACAAGCAGGGGAAGTGGCAGGCAGAGGCAGAGGGAGAAGCAGGCTTCCCGCTGAGCAGGGAGCCTGATGTGGGGCTCGATCCCAGGACCCTGGGATCATGAGCTGAAGGCAGACGCTTAATCAACTGAGCCACCCCGGCGCCTCAAGCAATTCAGGGAATTTTCAAGACTGGTCTCTGTTTTTATTTTAATAATTCCCCCCTTTTGGTCATTCTCTTAGCAGGCTGAGAGTAGTATCAGCTAGTATGGTGTTATTCTGTGTTACCACTATTGATGTAGTCAGGTTGAAGAATCACACATTTGAGGTTTTTGTCCAGTTGCATCATCAGGCCAAGATGCAATCAACATCTTCATCACTTCTGTGGTTATTGTTGGTTTCATCCAGTTGTCTGATCCTGACAGATACCATTTGGCATGTGAGTGGCTGCTGACGATGTAAAGCCCTAGAGAATACAAAACACACTGGAGAAGTTGATATGATGACTATAAAAAGAGTAATAGCTAAGGATTGTAAAATTCTCTAGAGCAGAGGTTCCCAGGAGCCAAGATTTAGCCAATTAAATAACTTAAATGGGTTATAATTCTTGAACTTACGTACGTAGGCACAGCACGATGTATTAGCAGTCGCATATCCTCATGATTACTTAGGATAGGATGAACCTGAGATGTTTTGTTTCAAGAGGTGGTACTGTAGGAGGGCTTCCACCTAAATTAGGCTTCTCTATGGTGTGAGCAAGCAGGTAATTTAATGAGAGACATGTCTATGGAATAAAAGGTAAACAAAGGTTGATAGTTCAAGCAGATTATAAAACTTGCTTATGAGTTTGGAGAACAGCCTGTTGAGAAGATTTCTGGACGTTGGGTCGTGAGCATCTTCAGATGGGGCGAGGGCAGGTGGTAGACATCTGTCAGGTTTTCGGGTTTGCGATGTGAATGTTTCTGATGATGTTTCTGAGTGGCCACGTTGCAATAGGCACGAGCTACCGCACCACCCATGAGCTGTTGTGGTGATTTCTCTGAAGTCTTTATCAAGTAGTCCAGCTTTAGCTTCCGTGGTTTCTGGGAAAGAGCAATTTTAGTTTCATAGCAATT